TCGCCATTCCAGGCCAACGGGGGCTGCGGGAAGCGGCGGCCAGCACATCCCTCGGCCCACGCTGCTTCCTGCAGCCCCCATTGGCCGGGAACAGCGAACCGTTGGGAGCCAGTGGGAGCTGCGATCGGCCAAACCTGCGGACACTCCAGGTAAACAAACCGTCCCAGCCCGTCAGCGGATTTCCCTGACGGGCCGCATGCCAAAGGCTGCCCATCCCTTTGCTAGACAAATAATTCTGAGCAGGAATTGTAGATGATAAAGTTATTAAATACACACACACACTAATTATACACACACCCTTGAGAGTTCCCTTCCAGTCACTCTGAGTGCATTACAGTGCATTACAGGTGCTCCTCCACCTCCAGAGCCACTATTTGATCCGGTTCAATACATGAACTTTAGCTAATCTGTTAACATTGACACAATTTTAATCAATGACTTGTTACTGATACCCACCAATGTAATTTATGTCACAACTTGTAATCTTTTAGAGGTGTTTACTTAAGGTAAATACTGGGATTTTGCAATAAACCCTATGCACACAGTAAATACAGCCATCTGGCAGACCGGCCCTTAGCCAGAGGCTATTTAGTTTTATACTTCAGGCCTGTATAGACATTCCTAACAGAGACACTGGTTAACTGGTAAGCAGTAGTCTTACTGGGTAACCGGCGTTAACCGTTAACCCCGTCCCGGTGGCCACAGCGACCCCATGTTGCCCATCTGGCCAGAGCAGCCATGCCTGCCGGATCGGCTCCAGCTGCTTAATCAGTTAACCATTTAAATGAAATATTTGTAATCGTTTAAACGGTTAAATTTTTCAACAGTATTTACATCCCTAGAATGAACATGAGTGTTGAGAAACCAATAACCCCTTCAGTGCCATCATGAAAGGACAGTGCAAAAATTGACAAGCCCAATGTTTAGCCTTCTTCCTCCAACACCCATCTGTTTGCAAAGGTTTATACAATGGGTGTCTCCCCGCCATGCAACTAGAGTCCTAATCCCTCAGCACGAGGACCAGTCAGCTCTACAACCGTGTTGCACCAAGGCCATGTCTACACACAGAAATTTTACTGGTTCAACTAAAGGTCAGCTGTTAAATCAATGCAATTACAATGGTGGAGCGCTGTGCGTGCACCAAGTTGTTTTCATGTGGCTCTATTTGAATGGTTAACAGTGTCCCCAAATTATGGCATCTCAAAGGCTTTTGCATGGTTTGTGATCATGGTTAGGTCTCACCTACATTACAAAATGGAATACTTTTGTAACCAGTTCCCTAGACTAAGTAGTTGTAATACAGATGTGGTTTGGTCATTTAGTTCATTCTTCTCGTAGTGTGGAGCACCATCCCCTGCAATTTATTCTCCAATACTTTGTCCAATCTAGCTGTAAAAGAGCTCCAACAGGTGGTGCTTTCACCACCTTATTTCACACCCTCCTAGATCTCATTTGTCAGGTAGTGCTCTAGTTCAACCACAAGTTATTGGGCTAGACCAGGGGCTCTCAAACTGCGGGTCGGACCCCTTAGGGGGTCGCGAGGTTATTACATGGGGGGTCGCGAACTGTCAACCTCCACCCCAAATCCCGCTTTGCCTCCAGAATTTATAATGAATTAAATATATAAAAAAGGTGTTTTTATTTATAAGGGGGGTCGCACTCAGAGGCTTGCTATGTGAAAGGGGTCACCAGTAAAAAAGTTTGAGAGCCTCTGGGCTAGACGCTGGAATCGCTGGGTGAGATTCCATGGCCTGCGTTATGCAGGAGGTCAGACTAGATGATAAGCCCATCCTGGCCTGAAAAGAAATCTGTGACAGTTTCTCCCCAATCATCTGCTAACATTATTAAATGTAACTGCATACGCTCAAGGGCAGAGATAAGAAGTTCACTTATGGAGACAGCTTCCAGTTTCAAACTCCTGAGAGTGACTAATTGCTTTAAGAAAAGTGCAATGTGTCCTTTGAGATATCCGTTTACAATAGCACTATTATACACTTTATAGAAGCTTCACAAACCGACAGAGGAAACATTATTGAATAAAAAAATCCCCACACACATTATTGGCATTAATCACAAGTTACATATAAAGTGCAAACAAATTTTGTGAGCATTAATCGAGCATCTTCCACTCCCCTTCCCCACCTCCCAATTTAATCTGGACAAGATCTGAAGGATTTTTAGGGTCTTCAATTAAAATAAGAACAAAAACAAAGCAAAAAAACCTAGACAAATAAGCCTTCCTTTCAACAACAGGAATAATGGGCAGTCCCTAGGACTTTTTTCCACTGCTTGGGAAAAGAGAAGCATTCTCAACTAGTATCATCATATTGGACCACTCAAGCTGAATAACAGCATTAAGGGTGTGATGTCTTTACATGTCACCAACCTGCCAGAACATGTCAGCTTTCCCATCATCTTACTCTCAGGTCCCATCTTCCTCCATACAGTAGAACCCCTATTTGATTATTCCCTATTTTATGGAGGATTGACTTCATCAAACTGAACATCTCAAGATTCCAGGAGGTGTGGTGCATAGGTTAATTCTTTAATCGCTCAATGATAGTTTATATAACGAAATGGTAACAAGGTGGATACAGTGTGCTTGATTTTTCTTTGAGGGAGAGAACTGCACCTATCAGTCTTTTCAAACCTGGGAAATGTGGTCTAGATGAAATTATTATAAGATGGGTGCACAACTGGTTGAAAGATTGTACTCAAAGAGTAATTATCCACGGTTTGCTGTCAAACCAGGACGGCATATCTAGTAAGGTTCTGCAGGTGTCAGTCCTGGGTCCAGTACTATTCAATATTTTCATTAATGACTTGGATAATGGAATGGAGAATGTGCTTATAAAATATGCAGATGACACCAAGCTGGGAGGGGCTGCAAATACTGTGGAGGACAGGATTAGAATTTAAAAAGAACTTGGTCTGAATTCAACAAGATGAAATTCAACAAAGACAAGTGCAAAGTACGTCACTGAGGAAGGAGAAATCAAAAGCACAACTATAAAATGGGTAGAGCCCTGTAGGGATACAAAATTTATATCTGCAGATGCAAATATCCACTGATATAAAGTGGCAAAAAAGGAGTGCATCAACGGAAGGGTAGTATGCAAGACACAGGAGGAATACTTAAGTGGATCACAAATTGAGTGAGAGTCAACATGATGAGGTAACTGTCCCTCTCTACTCAGCACTGGTAAGACAGCTGGAATACTGTGTCCACTTCTGGGAATCACACTTAAGGAAAGATGTGGACAAATTGGAGAAAGTCCAGGGGAGAGCAACAAAAAGCTCAAAGGATTAGAAAACTTGACCTCTGAGGAAAAGTTAAGGTAACTGGACACGTTTAGTCTTTTGGAAAGAAGACTGACGGGGGGAACATGATAATCTTCAAATATGTAAAGGGCTGTTATAAAGAAGATGGTGATCAACTGTTTTCTAGGTCCACTTAGATAGGACAAAAAGTAATGGGTTCTATTTTCAGTAAGGGAAATTTAAGTTAGCTAGGAGGAGGGATAGCTCAGTGGTTTGAGCATTGGCCTGCTAAACCCAGGGTTGTGAGTTCAATCCTTGAGACTGCTTAGGGATGTGGGGCAAAATCAGTACTTGGTCCTACTAGTGAAGGCAGGGGGCTGGACTCAATGACCTTTCAAGGTGCCTTCCAGTTCTAGGAGATGGGATATCTCCATTAACTTTATTTATATTAGGAAAACTTTCTATTAGTTAGTTAGTAGATAAGATCTGGAATAGACTTCCAAGGGAGGTTGTGGAATCTCTGCCACTAGAAGTTTCTTAAGAAGAAGTTGGACAAACACCTGTCAGAGACAATCTAGGTCTACTTGGTCCTGCCTCAGTGCAGGGGTCTGGACTTGATAGCTTCCTGAGGTCTCTTTCAGCCTGACAGTTCTATAATTCTATGTTGGTTGAAGGATCAGAGTCACGCACAGTGGTAGAAAGTAGCCGAACCTGCCGCGTCAGCGGGTAAATAAAACTGGCCCAGCCCGCCAGGATGCTTACCCTGGCGAGCCGCGTGCCGAACGTTGCCGACCCCTGACCTAGCACAACTCCAATGGTTCTCCTTGCAACATAACACACACAGGCACGCACACACTTTCCATGCAAAGTACATATATTTGTCCTCAGAAGTTTAGATCTCAAGCCTCCTAGTGCTTCAAAAGCTCTGAGTTGTTTTCTCACCGCTTCCAAATCCCCAGCTGCAGCATGTGCACTATCACCAGACAGCAGCAGCCTCTGTGCCCATCTGCCCGGAACCAAGAGAAGCTGAGGAGCTGAACTATATAGTCAGGTAGAAGCAAGGCAATGGTCAACCAGCACCAGAGATACCGGCCAGAGAGAAGATAATGGACGATGGTGCAGACCCCTGAAAAAGGGAAAAGAAACAATATGATAGATGGTGACAGACGGGGTACCTCTCCCACCTGGGCTCTAAGAGTGTACCAGCCTTTGTGGCCCAAATCACATTTGCCCACAAGCATCATCACTCTTTCTCCCATGTCACTTCTTAGGCCTGGGGCAAAGCTCCCCATAAAGATCCACAGAGGCACTACATTCAACTCCTTCAAACTCACCTCTCCCACAATAGCTACACAATGCTCAGCAACGGCTATTTATCTCCTGTGCTGTGACCTCTGTTTGTTACACTTAGCATAAGATCTCACTGTTACCTTGTGCTCCCTTAGTCTGTATCTTTTGCATCCATTTAGTGCAGGGATCGGCAACCTTTGGCACACAGCCCATCAGGGAAATCCGCTTGCGGGCCGAGCGGTTTGTTTACCTGCAGTGTCCGCAGGTTTGGCAGATCACAGCTCCCACTGGCTGCGGTTTGCAGTTCCAGGCCAATGGGGGCTGCAGGAAGCGGCGTGGGCCGAGAGATGTGCTGGCCGCCGCTTCCCACAGATCCCATTGTCCGGGGACGGTGAACTGCAGCCAGTGGGAGCTGCGATTGACCAAGCCTGCGGACGCTGCAGGTAAACAAACCGTCCCATCCTGCCAGTGGATTTCCCTGACAGGCCGCGTGCCAAAGGTTGCCAATCCCTGGTCTACAGTCTTATATTTAGATTGCGAATTCTCTGGGTGACCGTCTTTTTCGTTATCTTGCTTGCACAGCACAGGGGCCCTGATCCATAGATGTGGCCTCTAGATGCTACCACCACACAAATTAATAATAAAAATAAGTTCTCTGCTCTTAAAGCAAAAGAGGTTCGGATTAGGTTTTCAGTTTGGGCTCAACTCTATACAGAGAGAGGTTTTTTCCTTCCTTAACACTTTTGAAATCTTATTTCTAAGTGTTGGTTAATGTGTAACATAACTTTGCATGTTAGCAAAGGATAATTTGTAAAAAAGATGAAGTTATGTGTGCACCCAGCCTAGCGGTTCTCAACCTATTTAACACTGTGGGCCTCATCCAATACTACCTCTATGGCCCTGAGGATGTCACATAGGCCGCAGCTGTGTACTGACTGGGCTGCAAGTTGAGAACCACTGATCCAGCGCCTGGCACAATGGGGTTCTGCTCCATGACTGGGCCTCCTAGGCACCATGGCATTACAAATCACAAACAGATACTCTCTCCTCAATTTAACCAAAGCCTTTTAAACACATAGGGGCTTGTTTTCTGGAGAGTGTGTGTAAAGCAATGAGTAAAATGATAAATAACCCAGAGCGCTCATAGTAGACTGCACAGTGCTTCACCCAGGGGGTCAGCCTTATTATCCCCGAATTAAGGGAGCAGGAGGGGGAGTGACCTGTCTAAGGTTTAGCAGACCGGTGGTAGAGGCAGGAACCGAATCCCAGTCTCCTGAGTCCCAGTCTAGCGCTTTATTCACATAGGCCACATTGTCCCCTCAAAGAAGTAGCAATCCTTTCTGTCTGCCCTTTCGTTGTTGTCACCTGCTGTCAGGGATGGATCTAGAATAGCTCAGTGGGACTCCCAGGAACGGCTCAGGCCAATCCAGATCCGAACTTCCCAAACTCTGGGCTTGCTCAGGTCCAGGATTCTGGCGTAGGACAGTCACTGAAAATAAGGGAGAGCTGGGCCTGGGACCCTCCCTAGCCAGCAGCTCTGAGCCAGGGGCATCAGCCTGCCCAGGGTGAAGCTTCTCCCACGCACCTGCCTGCTCCGGTAGGGACCCGACAGGCAGCAGCTAGGGTTGCAGATTCAGGTTGGATGCATTCCTGGAGGTTTACTGATTTCATCCCATGCCATAACCTTTCATTAAAGAATCATCTTTAATTCCTGGAGATACGAGGACCATCCTGGAGGGCTGGCAACCCTTGCAGCAGCAGGCCCCCCCCCGCCCCCGGGGCAGCCTGCAGAGGAAAGGGGAAGGCAGCAGGATTCGCGGAAGAGCCCAGCACGCAAAGGGTTAAAGATTTTAAAAACGACGCGCGCGCTCAACCAGCGGCGCTCCCCTCCTTGGTGCGCTGCAAGGAAACGGCCGGAGCCGGGCCCGATCCTGCACCGGTGCCAGGGGCTCAGCCCTGCACGCTCTCTCCCGGCCCCTCCGTGCAAACCAGCCGGCCATGTGCATGCTCCACGTGCAGTCGTAGGGCGGCGGGGGGGGGACAGCACAGTTGCTCCGCAGGTCACAGCGGCTGCACGCAGGAATGGAGCTGGGGGAGGTGGGGTGCAGCTTGGTCGGGTGCCCGGTGAGTGTGTGTAGTTCCGCTGGCGAGTTGCATGCAGAAGGGGTGCAGCGGCGCAGTGACCGGGGTGCCCACTGCGGGGCGGCGGAAGCAGCTCGGGTGGGGGCGCAGCTCCGGTGTGTAGCTCCATTGATTAGTTGCAGGCAGACGGGTGCAGCGCGCGAGGGACATGCAAGTGTGTTGGGGATGCGCAGCCCCCCCGGTTAGTTGCAGGGACGGGGGTGCAGGCAGCGCGGTTACACGGGGGCATTGCATTGGCGGCCGGGGGACAGGGGGTATGCGTGCAGCCCCGCTAGTTAGCTGCAGGTCCCGCCGGGCCGGGAGACTCACGCGCGCTCTGTTCCGCCGCCAGCAGCAGGAGCGAGAGTCCCGCGAAGGCTGCGCGCATCCTCCTCCTTCGCCCGGGGCGGCCCGAGCCCGGCGGTGCCCAGCTCCGGTGCAAGGACTCCGGAGCAGCCCGGCTCCCCTTCAAGGACCAGCCGGCGCCCGCCCAGGGCTTTGACGCCCGCCTTTGCAATGCCAGGGAGTTCTTGGGGGTCGGTTAGGCGGGGGGCAGCAGATGCATTTGCAGGGACTGGCACTGGTTCCCTGCCAACTTTCTAATGGCACAAACCCCCAAAGCTTTGCCCTTGCCCAGCCTCCTTCCCGAGACCCCGCCCCTTCTCCAAGGCCCCGCCCCTGCTCACTCCATCCCCCCTCCCTCAGTCGCTTGATCTCACCCACCCTCACTCACTTTCACTGGGTTGGGACAGGGGATTGGGGTGTAGGCTCCGGACTGGGGATGAATTCAAAGCAAAAAAGGTTTCTCTCACCATATGCTTACAGCAGTCTGGTTGGATTCCTTCAGCCACGACCACTCCCCCAGTTCAATGATGCTTCCTTTGTCTTTCAAACATTATTGAGGCCGTAAGTAGAGATGAGGGAAAAGAGGTGATTTTGGGCCCCTGTTCCTCATTTTTACATCTTTTCATCCTCTTTGAGAATTATCTCCAGCTGGAGTTCTGGTGACATCCAGTCTGTTTACATGGGAGGTAAATTTGTCCTTTACACCCTTCCGCTTGCCAAAGAATGGCCGCTTAACCAGGTGATAGTCCATTTGATTTTGTTGACACATACAGTTTACCATGACAATAATGATCAGCAAATTGTGAGTTTTCAAATGATACTTCACAAGGCATGCTTTGTACAAAATTTTTTATAGTTTTGTAAAAAGGATGAACAGTAGGGTACAGACTGTCATATAGGCCCATAAGCCTAACGTCAGTACCAGACACATTGGTTGAAACTATAGTAAAGAACAGAATTATCAGACACATTGATGACCATAAATTGTTGGGGAAGAGTCAGCACGACTTTTGTAAATGGAAATCATGCCTCACCAATCTATTAGAATTCTTTGAGGGATCAACAAACATGTGGACAAAGGTGATCCAGTGGATATAGCATACTTGGACTTCAGAAAGCCTTTGGCAAGGTCCCACACCGAAGGCTCTTAAGCAAAGTAAGCAGTCCATGGAGCTTCGGGGACCTGAAGCATTCCTCTCACAATATATGTGAAATTCAGCTTTTCTCATTTTTTGGCCTTGAGAATCCATAAAGATTTTTCCTGTGCTCATGCACTGAACTGTCCGTGAATTACTGAGACAATAACACACTGTTTTATGTGTGCTTGCAGGTCCCTCAACCTCAACTGGCCATTGTACTTCGGCAGCTCGGGCACACGCCAGCAGAACCCTGGGTCTTCATTTCATCCTGGATCGGTCAAAGAGGAAGGACTTCCGTGATGAAATTATGGTTGACAATCTGGACAGGGCCAACAAGCAGGTGCAATATCAAAGAGGGAAGGATTCACGGCAAGTTGAAAGAACAGGCAGGCTGCAGAGCTTGAGGACAAAATAGCACTGCGGGAGCTGACACTTGCATCTTGGTTCCTGAAACAGGAACGTGAGTTGAGTGAGGAAGACAGAGCGCAGTGGAAAGTCCGGTTTGAGAGGCTGCTTTCACTAATGGCCACTAGAGTGCAGGATCCTGCATTGCCCGCTCCACAGTCTGAGTCCCCTCCACGGTACCATGCGCTGCAGACCAGGAACACTTTGGATAATTCCATGGTTGGTGGGTGGCCCATGCAACCAGGACTTAACAGTAGCTGGACAGGGCAAATCTACCCCTGCAGTCCTCCAGCCCCCATCCAGACCCTATTCCCCCAGCACACATCCACCCCTATGCTGACCCCCTCCTCCCTGCAGACTCCACCCTCCAAACAGTGGCACCCAGTGCATGCTAAACGCACATGAACGAGAAAGCAGAACATGCCAGAGGACTCGCAAACTTAGGGGATTGTTTTGATGGCACTGGTTTCACTGTTTACACCAGGCAATGTTTGGTTTATGCACTTTGTTTTATTACTGGTTTTAGTGTTGGTTTAACATATAAACTGTACACCAGCTACCATTAGAACACCAAAACAGCACCCTCTCTCTCTCTGTAATACATCCGTATTCACAAATAAAGGCTTTTATTTAATTAAGAAAATGTATTGCCATTATTACGTCACATTATACAATGTGTATTTCGAATAATAAAGATAAACACATGGTAAGGCACAATAGGGAAATTATATCCAAACACAATCTCTCAATACGTCTGTGTACAAGAATCCATAAAGTAAATGCACCCCCCCCCATAAACAGTCATCTCATGCATAAGAAAAATTCTGCATACGGTTTCATAAGCCAAGGCAAAAGAGATATGCGGGGTCCTCTAGGATAATGGGGACAATAGCTCCATTTATGGCAATAGAATAGTGTCCCTGGTTGTCCATGAATGTAGACTTCTGATGGTAGGAGAACCCTGGCATCATGACCTTTTCCAGCGCAGCCCATGTTGGTGTCCATAAATTGGCATCTGTGGTCCATGGGGACTTGCATAATACTGTAGTATGTTGTGATTTATGTACTCATGTGCTCCTTGAGGAGGGCAAACGATGGGCACATGAGTCCCATCAGTAGCCCTGGCACAATTTGGAAACCCCATTTTCTCAAAACCAGCAGTTACTTCAGGGATATTATGTATTCCTCCCACCTGTGGGTAAATCACACGTCTGATTGCCTCCACAGCCTCCGCCACTACTTTACCCACAATTGACTTTCCAACCCCAAACTATTTAGCAGTGAACTCTTAGCAGTCTGGGGTAGCCAGCTTCCAGTTGGTTATAGCAATCTGCTCACAAAGCTCTAGGAATGTAGCTTTCTTCATGCAAACGTTCTGGACTCACTGCTGGTCATCCCAGAGCCGCATGACAATGTGATCCCACCAGTCTGTGCTTGTAGCACTGCTCCAGTAGTGCCAGTCCATGAAGGGGGCATCAGCGGCTATGCCGAGTGTCATGAAAAGCATCATTCAGTTTGAGTCTGCCATGTCTGTATCGTCCCCCACCTGCTTCATCAGGTGCCTTTGGTGGGCCAGAAAACATTGGCGAAATGTCCACCAGCATCTCAGGGAAGCTCTGCTCATTTCCTGAAACAGAAGTGAAAGCACAAGCAAGAGGAGCTCTTGAAATGGTGACTCCTCCATGTTGCTGGCTACAGTTGCTGGGAGCATGCAGACTAAAACGATGGCTCGGCAGGATGTGTTGGCAGGCTGCGATAAATTCCTGTAACAAGCAGGATGGACAGTCAAGTTTTCCCCTGCACCATGAACAAAAGTCTAGAGCGGACACATTTCGGGAGCGTGCTAGGAACTTGATATGGTTGGTTGGACTCGGGTCTGCGTACTCCAGTGTGGATGTTGGAGCCCCAGTGTGGGGCCCGGGTTCAAAAATTCTTAACCTAGGGTCACCAATCAGTGTAGATGCTCAAGCCCGGGGCTTTCAAACCCAGGATCCTCAGACTCGAGTCCCACTACCCCTGGGTTCACACTGAAGTGTAGACGTACCCTTATGCCTATGGCCCCAACCTCAAATATGCACATAAGTAATGTTATGGCGGTGTGTAATCCCATTAGAAATGATGAGGGTACTCATGTGCAGAAAGTTAATCGCACAAGTCTTTGCAGGGCTGGGTCCTAAGTCAGCACTTGGCCCCAAACAAGTGACAACCTCCAAGTGGTCTCATACGTTGCGTCTGCTTAAAGCTGGCACTACCCCCCGACAACAAAACCACTATCCCCCACCAACATGGACTCATGCCCAGATCACACTGAGCAAAGCAACAACTAACATATGTGTCACGGTTATGGTTCTGGCAGCTCCTTGAGAAGCTCATCGAGAGAGGTCCTTTTTGTCAGGAACTTGGTCTTGCTAATCATTGCTTTGCCTCACTCCACTCAGGAAGAGCGTACAAGGGGGGAAAACTAAATAAGTCCGTCAGACTTTGCTGTTATCACTTCTCCCTTCTGGTGCAGAAATGACGTGAGCATCCCCTGACTGAAGCCATTTTAAAGGGGGAACGTCAGGTCATTTCCACCACAACTAGAACCATCACGTGAGTATTAAATGTGCAAATGCAGAATGTTTCTCTGTATATATATAGTGGCTGGAGTGCAGGAAGCGGCGCGGGCTGAGGGATGTGCTGGCCACTGCTTCCCGCCGCCCCCATTGGCCTGGAGCGGCGAACCACGGCCAGTGGGAGCCGCAATCGGCCGAACCTGTGTACGTGGCAGGTAAACAAACCGGCCCGGCTCACCAGGGTGCTTACCCTGGCGAGCCACGTGCCAAAGGTTGCCGATCCCTGGACTAGTGTGAAGCTTCAGCTGGTGCAGAAAGCTGCCGCCCATGGGTTTTTACACTGGTGTGGCTATGCCTATGTATCTGTACCTGGCTAAACTGGGACATGCACTGGTAACCCACACTGGTGCATGTCACAGACTACACTGGGTCAGCCATGTCTGTGTAGCTATGCAGGGCAAAGCCCCTACATAGAGACAAGGCCTTACTATGAGCCTGAAGCTTCTTAGTGTTCCCTGAGCATGCTAAGTGTACTCTGGATTGCTACTGGTTAATCCCTTTGGTTTAGGGCCTAGGGAGCAGGGTTGGCCTTGCTCCAGTCTAACCAACTTTAATCCTACTACCTTGTTACCATCCCTCCTTTGGTTTAGTTCCTAACAGAAGTAGCTGTCTTGGAGAGGCAGATGCATTACTTTTAGGGGCTTTCATTTTTGCTTGGATGTAAAATCCTTCTCTCGCCTGTTTGGTCTTTTATTAACTTTATTATCAGTTGATTTAATCACTTTGTTTGGTCTTTTATTAACTTTATTATCAGTTGATTTAATCACTTTGTTTGGTCTTTTATTAACTTTATTATCAGTTGATTTAATCACTTTGTTTGTTTACTCCTGTGCTGAGGTATTTTGGTTTGGGTAGCCTAGGCTGATCCATCACACTTTGATCTGGGACGCCCTCATCCTTAGATTCATCTGACTTCCTCCCACCCTGGAATCTGTCCATTGTGGGAGGAGGGACAGCAAGGAAACTTATGGGAAAGAGAGGGGGAGGGGGAAGAGTCTGAACCTTTTGATGTTTGCTCACCACTAATTTATGACTTAGATTCGACATATCTGGCTTAGCGCCGTGGTTCTCAGCCTTTCCCACACTGCAACCCCCTATTCCTATTGGTCTGTGGTGCTGATATAGCCGCCACACTGTGGTGTCTGAGCACCCCACCATTTTCAATATATTTATGCTCACAACTCCCAGGTGAGAAAGGGGGTGCTCTTATCCCCATTTCACAGATGGAGCTAAGGCCCAGAGGCCCAGATCCCCAAAGGTATTTAGGGTCCTAACTTTCAGTGATTGGAGCCAAAGAGACTAAGACCATATCTACACTATGAGGACTGTAGTGGCATAGCTACAGCACTGTAGTTATGCTGGCATAACTTCATAATGTAGACGCTTCCTGCAGCGATGGAAGATTTTCCTGTTGCTGTAGGAGCACTATCTCCCCGAGTGATGGTAGCTAGGTAAACGGAAGCATTTTTCCATCAACCTAGCTGTGTCTACACTGGGGGTTAGGTCAACATAGCTACAGCGACGGGGGGGATGAAAAATCCACCCCTCTGAACGCCATAGCTGTGCTGACCTGACTTTTAGGTGTTTATTGGGCCTAAGTGACTTGCCCAAGGTCACACAGGAAGTCAGAGCAGGACTTACTTGAACCTGGGTCTCACAAGTCCCCTGTGAGTGCCCTAACCACTGGACCCTCCTTCCTTTCTGGGCATTGGATCACCCCCATCTCTTTAGTCCTCCCTCCAATCTAGCTAGGATCTAGCTGAGACCCTGCTCCCACTTAGCAGTATGGGAAGGGCAGGGCAGCTGCAACCCCTGACACCTCTTTGCAAGCCCCCAGAGGGTTCTGACTCCCAGGTTGTGATCCGCTGTCTTAGAAGAGCATGGCACGGTACGTACTGGGCGCATCTCTATATAATGATCATTTATTAAGGGAACAATGAAAAAACAGGCTTTGACCCTGCTGCACCATGGAAGCACAGAATCATCAGCATTGCTTGGGATTGCTCCTCTGTTTTTCTTTGCTTCCCACATCAGCAGGGGCTCTACATTTTCTCTTTTCGATCATCATCATCATTGAGACAGCAGTTTCCCATCCCGTGATGGCATCGGCCAACATACGTTTCGATGTGGTGGCACAGGGTATGTCGGCACACGCCATTGAGCCTCCTGCATCGTCCCGTGCCTGTGAAGGGAAACAAGTGTGTCAGAATTCTCATCTCATCGATACTAGTGCCCAGTCCCAGGAGGCCGAACATGGTATTGAGAATTTGGAAACTAGCTAATCCCTGGCTGGCCACAAGGACACTCCAGTGGACAAGAAGGAGGATTGGTGGGAGGCAGGACAAGTTCAGGATTCTTAATATACCTGATATATTCTGATATATACCTGCCTCTGGAGATTTCCATTACTTGCATCTGAAGAAGTGAGGTTCTTACCCACGAAAGCTTATGCTCCCAATACTTCTGTTAGTCTCAAAGGTGCCACAGGACCCTCTGTTGCTTTTTACAGATTCAGACTAACACGGCTACCCCTCTGATACTTAATATACTATATGAGACTTCGTCTTGACAGATCAAGAGGAACTGATCACAGAACTAAAAATTAATGGTAATTCAGGTACAAGTGAGCATGAGTAGATCACATTTATGGTGTACAAACCAAACAAAGTCGAGACCAGTGATCTATACACTTGGTGCTTTGAAAGTGCCCGTTTCACAAAGCTGAACACAATTATGAGCCAAATCAGCTGGGAGGAAGAATTTAATCAGAAAAATGTGAATGATAATTGGGAATTGTTTCAGAACATTTCACTTGGCTCCCCAAAAGCCATAATCCCACAATCAAGGAAGGCCATATTAGTTAAAAAGACAATCTAGTTTAGAGGGAAAATGAAGAGAGCTTTGTATATATATATAACAAATGGAAGAAAGGGGAAATAGATAGTTATGAATATAAATCAGAAATTAGGAACTGTAGAAAATGGAGAAGGGAAGCAAAGGGACATAAGGAGAAATCTATGGCC